AGAGATTATTTTTTAGTTTTCAGTGGGATTTAAGGCACGGGAAGGAGTAAGGGCTGTATCTACCTGGCAGAGCTGTGTGCAGGCTCCATAGAGGTCTGTCACTTGGTGCATAAAGAAATTCTTCCAGGATTTTTAGCTGCAATTTCAAGGAACGGAACTGAAACCAGGCTTGCACAACAGCCATCACTGAGAAGCCACCCAGGGAACCACAGACTTTTAATTCCATGTTCCTCAGGGCTATGGCAGAGCTTTCGCACATAAATGCACAAGGCAATAAACTGGGCCAGGACCAAAGCTCTGAGTGCTACAGACTCAGGATCTGAGGCACACACATCTTCTGTGGGAAGGACACACTGTGCTTGTGGAAGTTTCTACACAGAACATCTCTGTTTTCAAGTGCACGGAACAACGTCACTGATTTTTGAAGCATTAGTCAGGAGTGTAGGAGGAAGGAGAGGGAAAAACCCTTCCTTTGCTCTGTCCTGTAGGTTTTGGCAAGTGGCTCATATCAAGTCCAGAGCCCAGAGTCAAAAAGAGTGTTTTTATTAATTTACTCATTTTATAGGAGGAAGGTTTGACTTGTATTAACAGCTCTTGGAGAATCCTAGGGGCTCCTAGTGGCATTTTTCCTGCCTGGGGTTTAATTTTGCACAGGGATTTGGGCAGACATTTTAACTAACCAGAAGATAAGCAAAAGCCCTGACAGTGGATGGAGGCAGAAGATGAAGGGGGTAGGCAAGGTGTTTGCACTGGAAATGGCCATAAGAGAGAGAAACATTAAATAACTGCTGCAAAGGAGAGATTTCACTACCAACAATATTCCAGGCAAGAGGTAATTTGTAAGCAGCAAAGATAGCACTGAAGCAATGAAATTTCATTTGTGTTAAACTTTTTCTTTCTAGAGGTTTAGCACTGTCCTCTTACTACAGAGAAATTTGTAAATGAGAGAGAAATTTTAACAGTTTAAAGACTTTGCCAGGAGAAGCTGAGGGAGCTGTAGTTCTGTGGTACCTACATAAAAAGTAGATACTGCAAGACCAATGTCTGATTTTGGTTATCAGGGCACGAAGCTCCCTGTTCTCAGCAGAAATTGCACGCTCACACTCAGAGTCGCTGTTCCAGTTACTCCTTGCGTTTCATGGCAGCAGTTTGTGCTCAGCTGGATCCAGCTTGATGAATGTCCCTCTAACACCATCCATCTTGCTTTAGGAGAGCAAGCAGGGGAGGTTATTTGCTGCCTGACTCAGTGAGAGAGCATGTTTTGCGAAAGATATGAAACTTTGCAGAAGCTGTATTTCCCAGCAATCACCTCAGAAAGGCCCATCCTCCAGCTGGACTGGAGTTTCATGCATTATGCTAAAATTCTAATTTGCTCTATTTCTCAACAGGCTTTGCTCACACACATATCTTTGCAGCCAATTCCTGGGGGAGGAATTGACTTATAATACACTTGTTAAATGAAGAAGTGAGACTGTTTAAGGGGCTTTCTTAATTCTCACTGATTCTCATGCTAACCCTGATAAGATTTCTCATTGTCCCTGAGATTTCATGAGATCTTTCTCTACCATTGTTCTTTTGCTCTCTATCTTTAGAAACCCTCTGTTGTGTTTTTAACAGGCAGACTCACATTCATAAGAAATTGCAGGGCAGGGGAGTGGGGAGGAAGTCACAAGAAATAAAATGTTTGTTAAAACACAAAAGGAAAATGAAAACACTGAGTTAAATTAAATAAATTAAATAAACTATTCTTTATCAGGACCCCTCCTAGCATACCCACAAACTGCGGCTTATCAGCTTTCTAAGGAAGGGAATATTTTGTACAAGATCAGCACTTAGAGCTCACTGATGACAGGAAGAGTGGCTGGATTCAAGTATTTGAGCTTTTTGCTGAAATTACACAAAGAGAAGAACAACAAATGAAACTCAGATGCTAAAACTAAGAAAGACCTTGCAGTTTCTATTCTGCTCAGGTAGATGTCTTTTATCTGAGTATGCATTGTTAAAGCTTTTAAGAAAGCTTTGATTTCTCAAGGATTAAACTTCAAGAGAGAGTTTTAAAATATATTTCTGCATTTTATACTTCTGGAGTCAACCTGCCTTCAAGTCTTCCTCCATAACCATACACACACAAACTTATATTTTAATAGGACCTTCACATACCCTCATTTATTGACTCGGTGCTGATAGCTTAAAACAACATTTGTGCTAAGAATTTTGTGAAATAATACCCCTGCATTTAATGTTCCTGAGGTAGGTCTAAAATCTCTCTTCCCTGAACATTAGTTTTGTCCTCCATGTGAATGCTGCCATTCCACAGAGGAGCAAAGTGATGCACAGGCACCCCTGTAGCAGCCCAAGTGACCGTCTGCTGATGAACTCCAGGTGATGCTCACAAGTGGAGCCAGGTACATGTCTCTTAAGTTGATGTCAGTCATGATGGTGCAGTTGCACTCTCCCTTGCCCTCAGGAATGCATTTCTTCCTCACACAAGCACCAAGACTTGTCCGATCCATTCGTGAGCCACCTAAGGGAAGTGGAAATAGGAAAAGTGTGTGGTTGTCAGAAGATCCACTTCCAGAGCCAGCTGGCTTCCCTGTGGCAAGCATCTGAGCCTGTCCCATGTTGGCTGAAAGCTGATCCAAAGATAGGATTATATCAACAAATGTATCCAGGTCTATTAGGAAACTGCTCCAGATAGGGTGTATTTTGAGTTAGTTTTCATCTGTGCCAGGCCCTGTTTTGACTTAGTTGATGACAGAGGAGCCACCCTCCTGCTATAGGAAAGGCAGGTAGGACTGACACACATTTCCAAGAGAAGCCTACATTTATGGTGTTTTAAAACAATCATGGGATTTCTTTAACCTAATTCAGAAGGACAATTTGCCTAAAAAATTGAGAACAGCAATGTTTAAATGGCAGGAATCACACACCTCACCTGCCGGTGCATCCATGCTTGGAGCTGCACTGAAATCCCACTTCTCCAGACAGATCATTGCTCCCTCCCTTATCTTCCTAGGTGCAGCTCCTCCATCTTGCTGCCAGCAGGTCAGGTTGCTTGGCTGCTGGCACGCTCCACTTCTGCCAGCGCTCCTCTCTGACCTGCTCTCCAGCAGCAGCCAGCTCTGGCTCTGCTCCAGGCTGTGAGGAGACAGGAGAGGTCACAGAGGAGCAGTGCAGCCTGCTGCTGAAGAGAGGACACCAGAAGGAGCTTGGGGCAGCAAGCCTCTCCCTTGCCAGCAGACAAGGCAGGGGCACTGGAAGCACAGAACTGCTCACAGGAGACAAGAGTCACAGCCCCTCTTCCCTATTGTCAAAGCAAAAGGGAGTAGTCATGTATCCAAGTCCTGCATATCCCATCTGGAAATATATTTATTACTCACTGAGCTGCAATTTGGTTGCCATTGCCCAGTCCCTGTTCCCTCAGAGTTTGCCTCCTGTCATTGACCCTGCTTCTCACCTGTGCTCCTGCTTCAGAAAACTCCACCAGCCACCCCTCCCTGCTCATGCCTTAGCCATGGATTAGTGTTGTGTCTTAGGATCAAAGCTCTCCTGAGCACTTCACAGTTCTTCATAGCATGTCCCCATTGCACAACAAATGCAGGGGCACCTGTACACCCACTGACATGAGCAGGACCTGTCCCCTGCACTGCCCCTCAGCTCATGCAGATCCATTCCTTCACTCCTGAAACCAAGGATGTGTCATGAAAATCATCAGGATGGTGTGACTACCTGGGAGAAAGGCTAGGAGGCGAAGTCTAAACATGAAAGAGTTACTCATAAGCACGAGGTGTTGCAACCAAATTAGGGCACCACAACTGATGTTTCACGCAGGCTTCTCACACCCTTCAAAAGTTTAGGACCAACATGATTTAACAGGTCACAGAATCACAGGTCACTAGCTGCCACACCACTGGATGCTAATCATAGTAAAACTTTCCAAAGCAGGTCTATTTTTGCAGCATTCTTGCTGCTTGTCTATCGATCCAGATGTCCCTGGAGTCGAACTCACTAGAGTTAGTTATCTGTACTGCCAGAGATACTGGGGGGAGAAGGGGGGTTTCACAGACATGTCAGAGGAGCTGGGATTTTGGTGTTATCTTGGCTGTCCAAAATCCTTTATCTTTCACAGGCAGCTCAAACCTTACAAGAAGGAAAGTCTTTATTTCCAGGTCCGGGTTATCCTTTTGTTTGACTTCAACATAAACAGTCTCTAAGACTCCAGTAAAATTTCACTACCTCGTGACATCACAGTTGTTATTTTCAAACTTACCTGAACTGATCTAAACTAAACTAAACTAAACTAAACTAAACTAAATCTGAACTAATAGGTACCTTAAGAAGTCAGCACACTTCCATTCCATAGAGACGAGCTGATACAATAGGGCAGAGGGCTGTGTCCTCTCTCAGGCCGGCTGACACGCACCTGTGGCTACACAGCGGCGCGGCCCCACGTTCGCAGCGGGCGC